TTAGTTAGATCACTCTATTATTTGGCTTAATAAATAATGGTTCTAACACATTTAAATTATATATCATATATATATATATATATATATGACCTAAAATTTGTCAACAATAACTTCTTCAATATCTTTGTGTTATCAAAACCACGCTCAAATTGTATTTCCCTATAGATTGAACATGTATATCATAAAGAGTTAAGATATATCATGACACAATGTACCTCAAATGAAAGAGTTTGTTATTGAAATGCAGAGGGAAGTTTCATTCTCATCACCAATTTCCAAAGCGACAACTAATGATTATGCTCACAAAGGAATTGAATAAGGAAGAGGGAGAAACTATTTCAAAAGAGAAATTCCACATTAGAGGATTATATTACGGTACTTATTCTTTATATATATAAAAGGAACATAATATTCACTTTGTGAATCATCCTAAAATTATTTTCTTCTTTTTTCTACTAGTATAATATAGAATAGTTGTATTCTTTTATTTTATTTTTAAAAAAAGATGTTATTGTTTCCTCCTTAAATTTAAATAGAGGCATTGTAATTTGTTCTCATAGTTAATTAATTAAGTTGATTGTCTATTTTATTCCTTTTTCGCATCTTTTATTTGGTTGTGTGTTCTTATATTGTTATTTTAATATTCAACAATAGTATTAAAGTCACTTGGTTGTGATATTATTTCGCTATTATAGTATTAGAATAATGTTGGAGAAGATTTTTAGTATGTTTTATGGTTGCAGTTAATATGATCATCCACATCAGAAAAGTGTTATTCCTAGATATAAAGTGTGGTAGTGTATGTCTATGAAAGTTCTGGTAAGGAAATATTTATTATTTAAGCGTATATATTAGTGACCCACTTGTCTTTCCTAATATACTAGTTAAGGTCTACATCATTGTTAAAGTAAGTAATATTATTCATAATAAAAGGTAAGTAAAATAAAATCATGGCAACAAAGTATAAGATAAATAAGTTTAACAAAAAAAATGTATTGTTGTGAAAACTAAAAATAAAAGCAATTTTGAGAAAAGACAATTGTACATATAAGCAATTAGATAAAGACATGTGGATATCATAGATCAAATGAGGAAAGAAAAATGACAATGTTATAACAAACATGCACTTAACATATATGCGGTTTTGTTCAGCATTGTGGAAAAGGATATAGTGAAAGAGACTTAGGAGACTCTGATCAAATTGTACAAGGTGAACTCACATCACACAAGAATATTCTTAATAAACAACTTTATTCTCTTGAATGAATAAGTCCACATTGGTGTTCATGGGAGATGATCATATGTCTTAGACATTATTGGAGTTAGTATTGTTGAAATAAAAATGTATGATGGTATGTACGTATGATTCAAGGATATGACATATAAAGATTTGAAGAATAATTTAGTCTCTATTGGACAATTAACCACCTCAAATATAAGATTCACATTGAAGGTTAAATCTTGAACATGTTGATAGGATATTTAGTAATCATGAAAGTAGAAAAGATCATTAAAACTTTATATATTCTTTGGAGATATTTGTTGTAAGAAGTAGAAATATGTGTTGTGATATCAAGTAGAAGCATTAATAATGTGATATCGCATACTTGGTCATATGTCAAAGCAAGGTATGAATATCCTTGTATAACATAATCTCTTACTCAAGCTCAAAGAAATTACTTTACCTTTCTGCAAGCATTGTGTGATTAGTAAACAAAATAGATTAAAGTTTGTTATCAAAAGTAAACACATATTAGAACTTGATTCGTTTTGATGTGTTAGAATTGTCGATATTATCCTTAGGAGAAACAAAACATTTTGTATTAATGATAATTACTCTAGGAAATTATGGTTGTGTCCATCAAGGGGAAGTCAAATGTGTTATCAAAATTCAAGAGCAAAACTTTATCCAAAATCCTAGAAGGAAATTTTTTATTCTATACTAACAATGTGAAAGGGGTATTTTTTGTAATATCCCGTTACCCATAAAGTTATTGTTAGCGGATATACAAATGTTATTTTTCTTTAGGGTGTACTTGGAAAGAATATTGGTATTGCCCTAACCGGAAGGCTTTAAAGAACAAGGAAACTTGATTTACGAGTTAACCAAATTTATGTATTGCAGGTTTACTAAGACATAAAAAATAGAAAGGGTTTTCCTTTCTTAGAAGAATTATTTACTAAAAGGCTTATAATGCTTCAATATGAAATAGTGTAAGGCAATTTCTACTCCATTCCTAGTAATGAGAGGATCAAAATGTTTTGAGTATTGTACACATTAACAATGGGAAGGCTGATATTCACAGAGTATTAGAGTAAGCATTAGAATGTTATTAAGAGGATCCTTAAAAACATCAAAAGAACTTGAATTTTACATTCTATTTTGGAGGATCAGAACTAGTTGTCAGAAATTATGTTGATTAAGATTTTGCAGATGATCTTGACAAAAAGGGATATATTATTGATTATATGTTTATACTTGTAAGAGGAGCAATAAGTTGATTATCTAAGTTACAGGATGATGTAGTCATGTTTACTACAAAAGTTGAGTAAATGGCAGTCATCCAAGTATGCAAGAAAGTTATCTAGATTGAAAGATTAATAAAGGAATTTGGGTACAAGCAATAGAAGATTATTATGTATTGTGACAATCAGAGTATCTTGAACAATATAAAGAACCTTGTCTTGCATTCGAAGATAAAGAATATTAGGATATGATATCACTTTGTGTCAAGAAGTTGTAGAATAACCTAACAAATGTTATAGCAAAGTCAATTAGCAGTCATGAGGTCTATTATGATAATAACAACATAAATGACAATAAAAAAGTAGTATGAAGATTTGATTAATTTAATTAAAATCTTCACCTTGAAGAATGTAAGAAGAGAAATTTCATATAGAAGAATTATACTTTGTTGTTTATTTTTAATATTATAAAAGAGCACAATATTTATTATGTAAATTACCATAAAAATTACATATTTCTCTTTTATTGTTAATTTAATGCATAGTAATTATATTCTTTTATCTCTTAAGGATATTATTCTTTCTTCCTTAAATTTAAAGAGAATAAAGTATTTTTTTTCTATAATAAAATTATGTTGTTATTTATTAAAAAAATTATTCTTCTTTCTTCGTCTTTTATTTTAATTTTGAGTTATTAAATCGTTATTATGATATCTAATAAATGTTCAATCAATTAATAGGACTCAACTGTTATAATCCAAGACAAGTCACAGAAGAAGAAAAAAATGTGCGGGCTCAACAATTCCCTGTTAGGCCCACAAATTGAAGAGTTTTAGAATAGGATAAAAAAAATCTGATAAGTTGGCAAAAGGGAGAGGAAAAAAAAAAAGAATTAGTTACAGATGGTTGTCAGGGGTGAGAATAATATCTTCCCAATATGCATCAAACTAATGATTTTTTTTTTTATAATATTCATATAAGTTTTCCTTCTTCCATCTTTTATTTTTCTTCTCTCCACAGTTATTATTAGTTCATTTAGTTTCGTAGCATATTATTTTTAGAAACAAAAACCAAATTTGTATAATTTGTTATATATCTATTGGAAGAAAAAAGTATTAATTTATTCAAAATAAAAATAGTTATATATTGAGAACATAAAATTTATTTAAGAAAAAATTATTTTCTAATCCCTCTAGGTACAAATAATCTTCCTTCTAATTTATATATTTCATACAAACATCTCAATTTTTAGGCATCATTTTCAATCCACTCAAGTCTTATAGAGTATTCAAAATTGAATCAATAAAAAAAATAAATTAAAAATCAATCAAAAAACCGAATTGCTTTTACCAAAAAGTCTTTCTTACTCTTATTAATGGCACATTTATCTTAAACAAAGGTCAAGGTATTTCTATGATATCCATTAAAACAGTGGTGTTTGGATGCAATGTCTTACCAAAACAACCTCTCAGTTTAAACCCTGCAGTTTTTTTTTTATCAGAAAGGGACTATTATACATAAAGGAAACAAAAACAAAAATATGGTATATTCAATTGAAAAGTTACATTAGAAAACTTGATATAAAGTGGAAATGAAAAGAAATTTGAAATTAGATATTCAACTTACATTTAAAAGAATGTCCTTACCAGAAAGACTTAAAACACAAAATGACATAGAACTGTTGTCAGTGGACAAAAACATGGCGACACATGCAAAACATTAAAAAATGGCTATGACCATACACCAAGATATTTAGATAACAAGAGACCAAATGCTGTAAAATTGCAAGATAATTCCAGGAGAATATTTCGAAAACTAATCCCTTAAGATGATAAGAAAGCATTAAAAGTAAGTTGTCAGTACTTCATAAAAATCTTGCAACTTCTGAATCATTTATCTGATATGAATATCAAGTATCTACATTAACATTCAAGAACTTTCTAACAATATGCTGATAAGACACATACATGCAAGCTGGCTTTTCAGGAGAAACGGTGCCTGGTGCCACAGAACCACCACCAAAAGGTTAGCAATAGCAACACAAAGTAATAGAGTTGTGCAAGAAGTATAAAACAGGAGTCCATTTATAGCTGAAAAATTACATAAGCATATAAAATACATGTCTTATTGACTCATTCAGTCTGAAAACTGGAATTCAAACTATCGTGTGATTTTACTAATTTGCTTAACAATTATTATACACTGCCACCAATCAGCAAATGCTCTATCAGTCATGAATGCTACTTTCTAAAACTACAACAATTACATTCAGGAAAAAAGAATAAAAGAGAATATGATGTATCTGGTTTTCTCGGACACAGCAAATCGGTGTCTAGGCATTAAATCTCCACCACCAACAACAAAACTTACTCAGTGCAGGCAGGAAACAAGGTTCCTACTTCCTCCTAATATGGCATCATCCTTGACACATGAAACACGGTGATCGTACAACGAAAGAGAAACGCTAAGGAACAATCACAAGAATCATAATGAACAAGAATTCAAAGACATTATCACATGGTTAAAAGAATCAGTTACTCAACAGCTTTCTTCCCCCCAGAATAGTAATTCAGGTACCACCGCACAAATTTCTTCAAACCACTATTAAGATCTGTTGTTGGCTTATAACCAAGCTCCCTCTGCGCGTGGCTAATGTTGGCATGTGTAAACTGAACATCTCCATTCCGTGGCAACTTCATTATGTTCCTCTTCGCCTTAACCTTCAGCAGCCTCTCCAAAATGCCCACAAGTTCACTAACCGGCACCGGCGAAGTATTCCCCAAATTGAACACCCTCAACTGTGCGGGGCCCCTCTTCTTCCCCCCACTTCCCGTGCTCTTCTCCGCCGTATCCAGAGCCCCTAAACAACCTCTCACAATATCATCAATGTAAGTAAAATCCCTGGCAACCGTGCCATGATTTGCAGCCTCAAATATAGGAATCACCTTCCCCTTCAAAATATCCCTAGTGAAGAAGAAGTAAGCCATATCAGGCCTACCCCAAGGGCCATAAACAGTGAAGAACCTCAAGCCAGTCAATGAAAGACCATAGATATGGTTGTAAGTGTGAGCAATCTCTTCACCAGCCTTCTTGGTGGCAGCATACAAACTAGCAGGCTGATCAGTCCTATCCCTCTCAGAGAATGGAACCTTAGTGTTAAGTCCATAAACTGAGCTACTAGATGCCCACACAATAGCAGGTTGTGGATTCACACTCTTGCAAACCTCAAGCAAATTCACAAAACCAGCAATGTTGCTATGCACATAAGAGCCAGGATTCTCCATGGCATACCTCACACCAGCCTGAGCAGCCAAGTGCATCACATGAGTGAAAGGAACAACCTCAAAAAGCTTCCTCAATAGTGCTTCATCATTGATATCACCCTCAACTATGTACACGCCAGTGCGCTCCAAAAGGGACTGGCGAGCACGTTTCAGTGAAGGGTCATAATAGTCATTGAAATTGTCAATTCCCAGAACTCCATCTCCGCGGCGTTTCAGCGCCGCCGAGACATGGGTGCCGACAAAGCCGGCAGCTCCGGTGACCAAAACGGCAAACCCGTTTCGGGACCGGACCCGGGCAGAGGCTCGGACCCGTTTCTCCCAGACGGGTCCGCCCCAGTTGTAGGTCCTCAGTGACCTTCGGGAGAGGTCCGCCGGCACCGGCGACGACGCCGGCGACCTAAAAAAGAAGATCAAGATCGCGCCCAAAAACACGAATGACCACACGGCGAGCTTCGCCAGGGAAGTGTGCCACCGAACGCGGTTGAAGTACGAGGCTTTGTCCATCTTGAACTTTCCTGGGGTCGAAGGGGCACTGTCTATGTGTGACATTTGCTTCAGTTGGGACATGCTATTGAGAAAATCTCGGATTTTGAAAGGTGCCCACGATTTCTCTTCCTCGGGTTCGTCGAATTGCAAGGCCGATTTTTGTTTCTGGGATTGGTTTTGAGGTGCCTCAAATTGTTGGGTTTCTAGGGTTTGCTGGGAGTGTTATAACGGTGTTGGTTTGGTTTGTCTGTGTCTGTTTCTGAGATGGAGAAAGTGATGGAGAGAACAGGAAAAAAATAAAAAAGGAAGGTTTGGTGAGTTGTTCTTTTTCTTTTAAAAATCAAAAGGAAAAAGAAATATTTGTATGAGGGAAATGGGAATCTTCTAGTTTCTTGGAGGAATGGGTTGGAGGTGGTGCCTCCCTTTTGGGTTTATAGTTTTACAGTGAAAAAAAAAAAAAAAGTTAAAGAGTTAAAAGAATGTTAAAATGCATGATGATAGAGGCAGAGAGGGGTAAGAAGATCTGAGGTAATGTAGATGAAGATGGAGATGGGAGAAGATGGGGTTAAGAGGTTAATTTAATGAAGTAGGGTAATGTGTTTGAGGGTTTTGTGTTATTAGTGTTTCCTCCCTTTGTCTATGAAAGCACAAAAGGTGTTGATTGGAGAAATGCAATGCAAGTGGGTGGGTAGTAAAAGATGCAATATGCTAATTTGATTGGTTGGAGATCCTTGAATTTTGGGAGGCTTTAAAATAGATTTATAGAAGCTCTCTGTTTAAGGATATTTGTGTGTGGAGGAAACTTCCTTTGGAGGAGGAGGGTATTTAAGTGTGAAATCTATGAAGGAGGACATAATAATAATGGGTGGTGTGTTGAATTGTGCAAATGCAATGGATGAGATTTTCAGAGCCTTTTGCTATTAAAGCGAAGACGTGTGAGATTTGTGTGAATTTGAACTTTAATCGTTTTAATTCAAATATTTCAGAAAAGGATTGGAATTAAAGGGTTTAATTATAGAGTTAAGACCGCAATTAATGATTTCCAAAATTAGAAATCTCAATTTAAGTTGTTAGAGAGTCAAACCCAAAACTTCTTTTTACTAATTTGAGCACAAAATCCTACTAAAAATTGGGTTGAATAAAATTGAGTAAGAGATAGTAAAACTCCTCCTAATTTTATCTGTCAAAATTATCTAAATTCATAGATTCATTTTCACAATATTTACATTCAATACAATGGCTAGATTTACTTGATCGGTTTTTAAGGAAAAATTAGTTCCAATTAATTAGTTATTTTGCAAATTAATCACAATCATTTCTTGTAACCAAAGTAAACATTTCCCATGAAGTGTAGTATATATATAACTTTTCCTTGGAGACACTTCTTGAAACTCCACCAATGAATCATTTAAAAGGTTAAGTAATTTACCCTCATGAAAAGAACAAAAACTTAATTTCTTTTTTTGACATGCATATCTCTTCCTAGAAGTTGAAGTTCATCTTAAACCATTTCCATTCAAGACATGGAAAAGTCCAACACAATTTGTTTACATTTTCATTCATACTTTTCTCTCCCACCCCATTTTTCTTGCCATGCTTGATTTGTCGTAGCAAACTAGCTAAGGTTGAATTTTGTGGGATCTACTAGTATTAGCAATACCCTCATCACCTTTCTCTTTTGTACATACTCCTAAAGACCATGCTACTCCAAGACAAGTTTTAATAAAATAAACATTTCACACTAAAAACAAAAGTACTACAATCAAAATCAAAACCAAATCATCAAGATTAACATCATACTAATGTCACTATTTTAAAAAAGCCTGTCTTTAAACCTAGTATATTTTCAATAAATATACTCAAGGGTAAGAATTTTACCTCTTTACTATTATATAAAAACAAGAACATTAAATAAACTTAAAAGTAACTAATTTTACTATTTCATCATTAAGTATTAATTGTTTGTATAAATAAAAAATCAAAGTAACTCATTACACAGTTCTACATGAAATTACAACTTAGTGGAAGCCATATATGAAGTAATAGTACTAATTAATTATTATTGTCTTCTTATTTCTGTGTGCTCAAGTGTTGAAGAGAGGGGACCCAGAAGAAAAGAGAATGCATTGAAAGAAGAACTTGAAGTGTAAACAAACTTGAAAATGAAGGCAGCAAAGTATGTAAGAGCAGCAAAGTATCATGTGCAGAGGTACACACGTAAGGACTCGTGTAAGACAATCACAGGATCATGACAACATTGCTTTGTTCACAAGCTCTTTCTGGTTTTAAGACTAATATTCAAGGATAGAGTGATACTAAAGAAATAAAATTCCGCTTCACCGTCCTCGTGCATCACTCATTAATTTAAATAAATATAATATAAAAATGGGCTATTTATATGATTAAAAATCATAAATTTTAGTGTATTATCATTAATGACAGAAGAAATATTCGTTCGTGATCTAGAGGGTAAGGTAAGGATTGAATTGTTATTCCTTTGTTGAAGAGCTAAAAATTCTGTCACATGCAACCAAGTTTGAAGAGTGATAACATAAATATGATTTTGAAGCTACGATTCAACCTCTAGAATTTACGTGGCACTTTTCTTTTTTCTCAACATGATATCATATTCATCACTATCAGAAGCCAACAAAGAAGTCATGAAAGAGTAGTGAAAACAGAACAAAATTTAAAAGTGAAAAGGGTTGTTGAGGAGTTGGACTCTTTTTAAATAGTTATTTTCTCTTTCGCTCTTTTTGGGTAAGGGACAAAAATTAATATCCCACATGAGCCAGTACCTCTTCCCATGTGCAACCTTATGTTAAAAAATATTAAAAAAGATAGGGAAAAAAATACACTTCCGTAATGGTTTTCTTTCTTCCAATTCACATATCATCATTTTCCATGAATTAACATAAGCTGTACTTTCTGCATATTTTATTGTCAAAACAGACTGTGTTGTAATACATTTAGTACATTGTCACATGCATTTTGGTGTTACAAAAAAAAATCAGGGGATGCAATAATCTATATGCATTTAGAACTTGGAGAAGTGGATCGGAGCAATGAACCTCACCTGTAGATGTGCAATAATTTATATATTTTTGTAGTCTTGGCCACGCAGCATTTATAATGAGTGGTCAGAATTCTTGCATAGGCCATGCTTTAGTGACTAGAGAAACTCTGGTGAATTTCATATGACTTTCACAAATCATTTGCTTTGCAATTGCCATGAATACCAACTTTCTCTACTGTTAATATTGAAAAACAAAAGTACATAATCCAGGACCAGGGCTTTCAAGTTGGTGGGGAAGTGGTACGTATTCATTTGGTCCCCAAAGCCTAATTGCTAGTTTTTGCAGGCCACTCTAGCTTTTCACATTTCTCCTTTTTATATGATATAAGGTCGAGATTAGAGAAATCAATGCCATCTTGCAAAGTAGTAAGCAGAAATTACATATCACCAACTAAGTACCCACAGGAAAATTTGATAATCAAGTGCAAGTCACAACTAGTATGAACAAAAGACTCGACCAGATGTGTCAAACTTTAATTGATCAGCCTTTAACATTCTGTCAATCATTAATAAATGTCTTGAACTCAAACAAGCAATCACAGGCCCATTTCATAGCTAGACACTTTTCTGACCACATATTATCTGGTGTGTTTGACTAAAATGATACACGATGAAAGGTAAGGTCCCATCCCAACAGATATGAAATCAAATGCAAAGATACAATGTACACTACCACGTTCAGAGGAATGAAGCTGGAGCCATGTAACTCTTCAAAACTAAATTACTTTGATACAACATAACAAGTAGCTCTTTTCAACAATACAAATTATCTCAAGTTCTTACAGGGTAATATGCTTAGAAACAAAAGCAAGCCTACTCATTGCTTTGTGAGTATTTTATCTCACTCTCTCTCTCTCTCTTTCTTCCCTATTCAATGTACAAGAATGCCTAGTGCTTGGTGAACCTCTCAAGGACTTCAAAGTAGTCAGGAAATGTCTTTCTGGTGCAACCAGGATCCTTGATGGTTACTGGAACATCTCCACAAGCAGCAAGAGAGAATGCCATGGCCATTCTATGGTCATCATATGTGTCTATAGCTGTTACATTCAATTTCTCAGGAGGAGTAATCACACAGTAATCAGGACCTTCTTCAACTGTTGCTCCTAGCTGAAATGCCAACACAGTAGGTCAGTGAGATGTAAAAAGTCCAGTAACATAGAAACCATAAACGAAGCAGCAAGACTCTCACCTTTCTGAGTTCAGTGCAGATTGCTATCATCCTCTCTGTCTCTTTAACTCGCCAACTCGCCACTGAAAAAATAGAGGAAATAAAGAATAAATGGGTGTCTGAGAAGCATAGAAGTATGCTAAATGACATAGTAGATAGTTCAAATGTATAACATAGGGAATGACATAAATGCACCCAATTCATGCTTACAACTAAAACCTTTCATTAAAAAAAAAAAAAAAAACGTGAACTCAGAACAACAATCATCTGTGTTCTTTATGTTGAATTTCTTTCCATGGAAAGATCATATCTAGTTTAGACACTACTGATATAATACAACTATCACAAAAACTAGAGTTGATACGTGAAACCACATGAATGATTCTATACTATATTCCAAACATGGCCCCTTAAAAAAGAGCTTTCTCAACCTGAAGCATGAATAATACACAGGACCCACCTGCCTTATAATTGCATTCAACTTTTTATTTGAAGTGGACCGAAATGAAATTTACTTGAAGAACTGTGAGCGACAAGGATTGAACTCAAAGACACCTAATATAGAGACTCTAATGATACCATCTTGTTAACCAACTGTCCAAAAGCTTAAACTATTAGATGAAGACAAAGTGGTTTTATACCGTAATTACATGTGCTAACATATTCAAGATTTCATTAAAGAACCTTGAGCGATATACACTGTAGTACTTCCATGATTAAGAAAACTACTATTGAACCATTGAACTCAAGAAAAGCACAGTTATATAACCCAAACTAGAAAATAATAAGGCAAAGTCGTTGAAATAGCATTTTCTCACCAAAGAACTGAATTTTTTT